AACAGCACCAATCTGCAGCTCAGATTATACATTGTTATAATGTACTAGACCTACCAAGTTACATGACTATACCCCAGTATTAACAGCACCAATCTCTAGCTCTGATTATACATAGTTATAATGTACTAGACTTACCAAGTTACATGACTATACCCCAGTATTAACAGCACCAATCTCCAGCTCAGATTATACATAGTTATAATGTACTAAACTTACCAAGTTACATGACTATACCCCAGTATTAACAGCACCAATCTCCAGCTCAGATTATACATAGTTATAATGTACTAAACTTACCAAGTTACATGACTATACCCCAGTATTAACAGCACCAATCTCTAGCTCAGATTATACATAGTTATAATATACTAGACTTACCAAGTTACATGACTATACCCCAGTATTAATGGCACCAATCTCTAGCTCAGATACTACATAGATATAATATACTAGACCTACCAAGTTACATGACTATACCCCAGTATTAACAGCACCAATCTCCAGCTCAGATACTACATAGTTATAATGTACTACCATGAATCTGGTTTCCAATTTTCTTCCTGTTTCTCCGATGTAGAATTCTGGGCAGTTATTGCATGTTATTTTGTAAATGACGTTGGTATTGTGTGATTCTAAATAATTTTTGTTTAGTAACGATTTTATTTTAGGGCCGGATTTTTGTGAGAATTTGACGTTGACAGGAATATTGTGTTTACTGGCTAGTTTTGTCCAAGTGTGGATAATTCTTGAGCTGGTTTCAGGAACAAAAGGTAAACTGCATTGTGTGATTCTAAATAATTCTTGTTTAGTAACGATTTTAATTTCGGGCCGGATTTTTGTGAGAATTTGACGTTGACAGGAATATTGTGTTTACTGGCTAGTTTTGTCCAAGTGTGGATAATTCTTGAGCTGGTTTCAGGAACAAAAAGTAAACTGCAGTGTAATGTACTGTTGTTGGATTTGTTCGTGAGTTGAGTTTTTGGCTGTTATGTTAAACTTATATTTTCTTCATTACCCACTCAAGCCGTCTCCAGCCATTATCAAACTCATATGTTCATGAAATCTTATACTAATGCTTAACCAAGATGGGTCACAGGTGAAAAGCCATGTCATCTCATTTGTTGACTCGCATTCAAAGTTTTATTGAACTACTATTTCATGAATTTATATCAATAAGTTTGGTATCAAATTGTAGATTATAATTCAAATTTCAGTATTATACATTTGTTAGTTTAAAAGTAAATATTAAAAAAACACAGATAAACATTGATTTTTGTGTGTCACGTGGCATGTTGAATGCAGCACTGGTTCAAATTAAATGTTTGTGAAGTCAAAATACTAAGTCTGTAGTTTCATACAAATTAGAAACCAAAATTACAGATATTGACAAGCTAGAATATAAAATAAGAAGGTCTTATCTTTTCTCTTTGTTAAAATAGCCAGACACAGGTGAAAGGTCAATATAATAAATATATATGTGTGTATAATGTTATGAAATTTAAGCAATTTCATTTAAACATTTATGTTTTCATGTTATAATTTATGTTGAATCTAGAATGAAAGAGGCATAATTTATGTTCCTAATTTTTATGGTGGTTGTGAGATTGGTCAAATTTACCGAACCCTTACAGAGATTAATTAGTGAAAATATCAAATGAAATAAAACGTTTTTTCTTAAGATATGTTTGATAACTATCTGGACATTATAAAGATTTTGCATGTGAAATTTCAAACTTTTCTAATGCATAATAGTATTTTTAATCTTAAAATGGAAATTACTTTGCATTTTGGATAGGCAAGATGTGAAAGAAAAAAATAGACATGAGAGAAACATTGCTTTACACACCTTAAGACTTAATGAAAAATTAGATATTTTGCATATGAAAGCATTGTAATGTTTACTGATAAACTGACAAATTTTGTTAACATTCACTTATTAATTTAAAAGTTATAGCATGAAAACTATAACAAGCACAAAATGATTATGAGGTTGGTCCCAGGAACCGAGCCTAGGTTGAAAGAGTTAAATATTCCTCAAACTCAGATGTTCAGAGAATCTTAGTTAGGCTGATGATTAAAAATAACTCAGATGTTGATGGAATCTTAATTAAGCTAATGTTTAAAGATACCTCAAACATGTTTATTTAGTGGTTTAAGTTAGGCTAATATCTGATGATACCTCGAGCACAGACGTTCATTTCATGGAATTTGAGTTATGGTAAAGCTTTTTAATAAAAAGATTTATTTCTAGTTGGTTTGTGTTACAATTAAACATGGCCTTACGTAAACTCTCAGTGTACCGATATCTTACATTTTATCCTGCCAATCAATAACATATGTATTTCTTATATTTTGTTAAGAAGGAGTTACTTTTATGTGCATGTTTAGGTAGTTAAATAAAAGTACTCATCTGGAAGATTATGGCAGCTACCGGAAAAACAGTTGAATACAGTGAAAGGGATTTTCAGGAATTAAAGAAGCGTCTTCAGGTTAGTATCAACTATCGGCTAATGGATGTGAATGTAATGTGAAACTGTTTGTATATCACATAATAAGTCATATGAACCCATCATCATGATCTTCTGTGCTGTGTTACACTTGTTTGTTTTCACCGTAGACATAGCTACAACATATCATCTCACAGTTTCTAGTAAAATAAATTACATGTAAATATTGATTAATCAAAAGTTTTAAAAAGACAGCTGAATTTGTAGCCAGACATTTTGATTTCCTCATGGAAGACAATATCTGGCCAATTTATATAGAATTTCTCTTGCAAGAGTCACAATTAACTGATTATTTTACATTTAGACCCAAAGAGTTCCAACTGTTTTTTAGATACATAAGTTTAGAGGGTTCACCTTCAGGTACATTATTAGAC